TTCGGCCCGGCACTCTGGACTGCGGCGATGAAGTTTTGCACCGTGTCACACACGGACCAGGTTAGGTTCTCTATGGACGCCGCCGATGGTAGCTTCATCTGCGCTGTGACCTCTACGACCTCGGTGAGCGATGTCACCGAGGCGTTGAGAAGATGCGCTGGCATCGCACAGGGACTTGGGACTTGAAGGAGCAGCCATCTCTTCGGGTTGTTTCACTGCGGAGTCGGAGGCGCTTTTCTTCACAGGTCTTTCGACTGGTTCCACGATTTTTTCTTTCGCTGGGACTACACCAGCACACGCTAATACAGACTTTTCAGCCTTGTTCAGAGCGTTTATTGTCGTCTCAAAGTTCTCGAACAGTTTCTGGATGGGTTCACCAGGGTCAGGAGAGGCTAGCATAAGGCGCATATCTTGGATATTTTGGTCGAAGCAAGGTCTGATGTTTTCAAGGTCTTGTATGGCTTTGGACTGGTTTGGAGAAAGCGAGCGACGCTTGACTTTGGCGTCTTTAGCAAGCCCGAAGCAGCTCCTCGTTGTCAACGCATGCTTTAACCAGTTTTGCCAGTGATGCCTCAGCCTTTTTAAATTTCTGAGCAATTAGCTCTTTGGCCGCTTTGAGGCAGGGCAACACATTTCTCAAACTTCTGTCCAAGTCGCTCCAAATGTTCTTTCGCTTGGATTTGTTTGTCTTGCAAGGCTTTATCTTCGTCTACTTTTGTCGCACCAGTAACAGTGGAGCAGATCGTTTTCAAAATTGTGTCAACGCTGGCACGAGCGTTTGCGGACTCCCCAGATATTTTCTTCATGCCTTTCACATCGGCAGGAAATTCGTTTTTTCTTTGCCGTAAGCTTCTCAATCGCCAACGACAGGTCTTCTGTTTCAGCATCAAAGGCCTCACCTTGCATAAGAAACTTCTGCACCCCGTGCTCCGCAGATGTCGCAGCGGCCTCCCGCATGGCGTTGGTGACATCCTTCAGATCCTCCTTAAACTTGTTGTAGCAGCCACAATATCCTTCTGCACCCCTTCGAGGAGAGCTTGAATTGCTAGGTTCATTTCAGGCGAGTCGTCGGATCTGAGAGCCTGTGCCGAGGGCCTCGGCCCGCGTCGGAGACGCGCGAATACCCCCATTCACAACGGCTAAGAGCTTGATAGCTTCGTCACGAAGTCCGTCGTCGGAGAGAAGATCTGTAAGTGTCACCACGGCGGCCGCCAGGGCCTGCTGAACGGCGGTGGTTTGAAGACTCAGGTCTGCAGAGCCAGTTCATCGCGTTGCTCACAACCTTCTTCACTGTTTCGGATAGATTCACGATAGAGTCATTGATCTCAGCGAACTGTCTCGAAATGGAATCATCGTCCACGGGACGCTTCAAAGCCCGTAACTTCATTTGATTTGTCTCTTCAACTGCGTCAACGAGCTTTTGAATCTGATCCCCCACTGTCTCCTCCGTGTTTGGTTTTGTGCTAGTGGCGCCTGCTTTAGTCGCGTCAGCACCAGCCTCGGTAATCAATCGTTCGATTTCCTCGCAGATCAGGTTTATCTTGGGATAAATTGTCCGTTGGATAATTGGTTGCAATTCCTTCTATTGACTGTAACATATCAGGCTTTCCAACTGCGTCAGTGGCAAGCTTGTCGTTCACACTTCACTTTGTCGCAGAGTCTGTTCAACGCTAATCTCAGCCTATCAGAATCAAGCCCACCACAATGGATTCCAAAGCCTCCAAAAAATCATTGGCGAGGCTTCAAAACTGGGCTTCCGAGTGGTCAGATGATGTGGTTGCCGAAGTAGATGCGCACACAGCGGTCGATAACATCTCCATGGAGTGAAGAGCTCTTCTGACTGGTGAAGGCTGTTGAAGAGACTCTGTATCGTCAGCAGCAAGCTCTTGCGACCCACTCTTCCTAGCAGAAGCTACCGTAACTATACTGTCACTGCTCTTCATGGAAACATCGTCATCACATGTCATTTCCACATCCTCCGATTGCAAAGTGTCTGTTTTATGTGCGCCTTCTGGTGCCTTCAGAAGCATGACGTTCTGGATCTGCGCTTCCAGCCCGGACACGATGGCTTCGGGCGAACACACTCGAGCCACACCCGCTGCTTCCCCCGACTCAGCGATGGCCAGAGGCTCCACGGTCTGCCCAACAATGATTTCCTCGCCGCTCGCTGTCATCTGCGAGGGGCTGACTGTTCCCTCTCCAGCCTGTACTGGGGAGACGAGTCCCGGGAGTCCACCGGTGTCTCCAGACTGGAGGTCTCTGTCACTTCCATTGCTGAAAGCGGGGATGACACTCGCTTCTCCATTTTGACCGGCCACTGTTGAGTCACACATAGTTGTGGACCTCCTCAACGCCGGTGGTTTCTGTCACTTGCAAGACCTGAAGGGGTGAGGTTATGCGTTCTCCCGCCTCGGTTGGAGGGAGTGTGTCAGAAATTGTGTCAGCTTTCCTCTTGGCCACTGGTCTCTGTCACTTCTATGGGCTGAAGCGGTGATGTAATTCTTTCCCCAGCTTGCAGGTTTGATGACACAGTTCCTGAAAGTTTGTCAACCTCTTCTACCCCAACAATATCCGCAACTTGCCGCTGGCTGAAGAGGAAGATACACCCTTTCCCCTTCCTTAGCTGGTGGTGTCCGGTCAGACAACACATCAGCATCTTCCACACCAGAGGTCTCCGTCACTTGAACCCCTTGAAGTGGTGAGACCACTCGCTCTTCTGCCACAGTCGGAGATGATGCATCCGAGAGGCTATAAACATCTTCCAAGCCAGCGGTTTCTCCCACCTTTACTGCCTGCTGCGGCGATGTAACTCTTTGCTCGGCTTCTGACAGAGACGAAATCGACGAGATCCGCGGGTCTGCCTCCTCGAGGTCAATAACTTGCTCCACTTGCGTCTCCGTCAATGGGGATGTAACTCGCTCTCCTGCCGTCACTGGAGACAGCACCCTCTCAAGGTCACTGAGAGCACCCGCGGGCACTTCTTCTCCGACACACACGGCCTGCATGATCTCTAGCGCCTTCTGCACTGCCAGTGAGCTCTCCTCTTCCGTGAGCGGGCCACGCGCCGCTTGAGGCGACAGCGCTCGCTCCAGGTCCCCCAGAGCGGCCTTCGGCGTGGAGACCTCAGCCTCCGCGGCGCGCGCCGCCATAAGTACTTCCTGCGCGATGGCCAGCTGGGGTGAGTCACCGCCGAGTTCTCTCGCCGAGGCGGCGGACATGGTGCGGTCTGATAGCTCCGACACGGAAGCCTCAGAGACGCTGGGCGACAGCGGGTCAGCATGCAGGATCGTCATGACCAGCGCAGCTGTTTGTTGCTTCTCCTCGTCGCTGAGCGCTTCTTTGGCTGATGAGGCAGCGTCTGGCGATTTCACATCACGAACGGAGCCTTCACTGACATCTTCCTGACAAAGGGCGGCTCGCAACTCCGTGAGAATCGCCTCCGCCTTTCGTTTTGTCTCGTCCGGTATCGTGGTGCACTTTGCGATCACCGGCGACGTTGTTCTCTCCAGCTGACGGATGGTCTCCACTGGAACATCCTCCCCGGCGACCACGGCCCTCATTATGGCTACCACACGTCCGATCAGACTTCGATCGTGTTCGGTGGCCTCTGCCAGGGCTGGACTGTGAGCTCCAGACAGGGTTGACAGCGAGCCCTCAGAGACAGCCTCGTCGGCTGGAGAAGTCTGGAGGATGTTCAGGACCTTCTCGGCCGTCGCTTTCATGGAGTCTGAGCTCAGCCGCTCCGACGCCTGCTGCGGTGACATGCCTCGGATCTCGGACACGGCTCCCTCTGACATAGACTCTTCCGCCGTAGCTGCTTGAAGAACAGTCATCAGCTTTTGAATGTCCAGGCGCGCACTCTCGCTAACGCTCACCTCCTGGGCCACGGCCGGCGACACCGCACTCGAGCCGGACAGTTCCTCCTCGGGCGCGGACGCCTCTTGCAGCACAGCCTGGACTGCGGTCAGCACGCGCCGCGCGACGCCTGTGCCCACGTCTCGAGACACCCTCAGTGATGACTGCCTCCGTGGGGGGAAAGTGTTTCGGTCAGGTCGGAGAACGAGCTGTCCACCGCGCTCTCCGAGGTCAGCGCCACCTGCAGTACCGTGAGAAGGCGCTGTGCCGTGCTCTGGGCTTCCTGAAGAACCGTGGCCTCACGAGCCTGGTGCGGAGACAGCGTGCGCTCCATTTCGTGCAGAGACTCGGCCGCCGGCGGCGCCTCGTCCAGCACTGGTTTCACCAGCGTGATGATCTTGTCCACGGTCAGCTTTGGTTCCGTCTCCTCGGCTCCACGTGCAACGATTGGTGTCAATGAACGTTCCAGGTCACGAAGCGTCTCATCTGTTATGTTCTCGCCATGGCTAACCGCTTGGAAAATGGTCATTAGCCGTTGAGATGTTTGCAGACCGTCCTCCGGAAACAGGGTTTCTGTACAGTAAGCAGGTGATGGTACTGTTGACAGCTCACCGTACGAACTGTGCAATGATACGTCGCCCATCGTGGCTGTCTGCAGCACCTGCAGCGCCTGGTCCGCGGTCTGCTTAACTTCATCCGACGTCATCAGGGCACGGTCCCGCTCGGCTTCAGCTTCGCCAAACATCTCGCTCACTTCTGGCAGCTTTTGGAAAAGCGCCAGTATCTTTCGTGCCGATGCCTTCTCATTGGCACCTGTCAGGACCTCTGACGCCATCGTGAGCACCTCCGGCGCCACCTGCGGCCTTGCCGAGCCGCGGGCCCCCGCCCCGTCCTTCCCCGCCGCTGTTTGTAGCACCTCAACCAGCGTGCTCACGGCATCGCTGGCTTGCTGCGTCAGGGGCTCCGGGGCAGCTGTCGTTGCTAGAGCCTGCTCCACCTCCTCCAGCACGCCCTGCGACAGCTGCTGGTCGGAGAGCGCCGCCGAGAAGAGGCGCATCACCTGGTCGGCTCGCCGGCGGGCGTCCTCCTCCTTCATGGTCATCCGGAGCTCAGGCGGGCTGAGCGCGCGTCCGATCTCGCCCAGGTACTCGTCCGGAAGGTGCTCGCCCGTTACCACGGCGTGCATGACGGCCACGACGCCTGGGCGGCCAGGTGCGACTCGTACGCCTCCGGAGAGGGCTCCTCGTCAAAGGACCAGCCGCGGTCGGAGCCGTCGCTCTGCTGGGAGACGGCCGGCGACAAGAGCAGAGGTCGCCGGCTGATGGGTCCCGTCGGCGGCTGGAGGAGGTCGGAGGCAGGCTGTTCCGCTGGTGCAGGTTCCTCGAACATGTACCGGCTCAGCTGCTCGTCCAGCGTGGGGGCGGGCATCTCGAGCGCGCCATCTCCCACCCTGTCATCCATCAGGTCAATCTCCTCCCCTCCAAAAAAGACCGGACTCCACTCTCGCTCTGGCAGTGGTTTTTCAAGCTCCTCGTGCATCCCGGCAGCAGATGGCACTCGGGCGTCGTCCGGCTGCGGCCCAAAGTCGAACACCTCCTCGATGGGCACGGGTGTGATCTGTCCCGACGTCGGGTCGTCCGAAGCGTACGACGGCTCCATGGCGTCCGCCGTGTGGAACGACGAGTCCGCCGTCGACATGGTTTCGGCCGCCGCCGAGCCGCCGCCGGCGCCGCCGTCGACAGCGTCGAGCGCGACGCCGAGCTTCTCGACGTCCAGTGGGCGCGTCTCGCTCCGCACGGCGCGCCGCTTTCGCGACGAGCGCGACGAGCCGTCCGACACCGGCACTGCTGCGGGCCGGTCGGTGTGCAGCTCCTCCACCTCGGCCTCGGTGCGCGCGTCTTCTTCGGCTGGCGCCGGCGGCACCTGATCAGCCGGTAGTAGCGAGACGTCGATGACGGTGGCACCCAGCTGCACGTTACCGGAGGTGGCCTGCGCGGCGAGCACGCGCAGTGAGGGCACCTCAGCAGCGTCGGTCGCGCCGCCACCGCTCGCCGCTGCAACCAGGAAAAACCAGCTTCAGTTGATAACGATGGGGCTCAAATTCACGTCGACGTTTTGCCGGAGATCTCCACTTTGAATATGCCCACGGTTTGGCGTGATGTGTGTTCATTGAATATAAGTGTATTGCACATTTATTGTCATCAAGTGGTGACTTTCCTAGACACAATACGCTTATAAGATGCTGGATATTTTATCAAGCTGTAAAGCAGCAAAGTAAATGACCTTTTCTGGAACTTTCACACTCTCGAAACATTAATTGTCAAAAACCCTTAACTCGAACGCAACGTGAACCTGCAATATCGTAGTGGACAATAGCGTGTTTCAAGACAGTCGGCATGCCATCCGGATGCCTTGTTTACCAACTACCCGCCTTTTCGCAGTCTAATTCACTGTGTCCCTGACACGCTCTAAAAGCCACCGACAAAAGACTAAACCGTGTCGTGGAACAACCAGACAGCAACGGTGGCGTGAGGGAAGAGTGGGGAAGAGGGGGCTACCTCACTTCCCTGGACTAACGATTTATAGCATTTGATTGCTTTGGTGGTGAATTATATCGCCTTCACAAGATTCTGACCTTTAAACGATACAAAAACAACGCATGCAGCTGTGAAATAAAGCAATAATGACACCCAAGTGGAACACGACAATATGACTACATCAGTACACATGTCGCCAACAAACCCACTCGACCTCATGAGACCCCTGACTGAGCTGAAGGTTTCGCCACCGTAAATGTCGTGTGGCCCGGGTCTCCACTGACCGGGGCTGACGGCGCCTTCCGACAGGTGCTCGCTGTAGGCCTCCAGAATGTCGTGCACCTGCTGCAGGCTGATCTCGCCGGTGCCGAACACGGAGGCTGACACTTCGCGTCCGTCCACGACCACCGACACCACTGAGCCATCCAGCATCGGAGTCTGTGGTCAGCAGGGTCAGGGATCACGGCCCGGAAGGCCCGTACGGAGTACCATCATCGCAGGTCAACCGAACAGAGAAGCGCACTCTTCAGGTGGTCTGCACAGGCAGCCACTGCCGCGAGTGAGGCAAGGAGTCGTCTACAGCTAATGACTGTGATTGGGATTAGATGCACGCGGCTCGGTCATTAACTGATCAGCAACAAGACAAGCGCCACACGTCGCCAGAACGTTTCCAAACCTAACCGCCACGCAACATCGTTTGGAGCCTCAGATCTGATTGGACGTTCTGTACAGCAGCACTAACTAGGTAAGTGTCGGTGCCCTGCGGTGTGCCAAACAGCGACATCATCTGGGACGTCCTCTCCTCGTTGATGGTGGACAGGGATGGGTTGCGGACGACGCCGAACGGCTCGTGCGGCGGCATCACAGGGGCCGCCGGCGGCCCGTGGTCTCGCGTCAGGCGCTTCATCTCTGTGGGAGACCGGCCGCTGCGTCATCACGCTGCTGGGCATGCCTTCATCAAGACAATCCTACTCAAAATTAAACTCAGCTGAGGCTTTCAATTAGTTTATTATGTTCTAAGACTGATGAGAGACATTTATGGCAGACTGTGTTATAGATGCAGTGGAGGCAGAGTACTCGTACGCCCCACGCGCCAACAATCCAGCAATGCCAAATCATATACATAGTAACAGATCAACCAGATTGCACGTTTTTTTTAAGACTCTGATACTGACAATTTGTCGCATAAAGCCGCCATAAAGAGTCACAGCAACATCCTTCAGAAGACACATTGTTATCTAATTCCGAAAATACGATGTCAATACAACATGCGACCGTACCTTCGAGGCCGAGCAGAGCCGCTGACGACGTGGCGGAACCCATGCAGTTGAAAGCCTCGCACGTGTAGTTGCCCAGGCAGCAGGTGCCGTCGCCGCCGGACGTGATCCGGTGGATGTCCCCCGCCTTCAGCTCGTGGCCGTCCTTGTACCACTTGAGAGCCGGTTGCGGTGTCCCCACCACCTGAGCGGGGTCAAGGTCGGGTCACAGAGGCGGTCGGGCGGGTGATGCGGAGTTCGGAGCAGCCACGGTTGTGTTCTTGGGAGTAAGCTTTCCAGTTGGGCTTCAGGAATCTATGGCACCGGCAACGGTCTACCCTGAAGACCACGTTTTGATCTTTTAAAAGAATCTAACTCTCACCCTTGTGTGGTAGATCAGCAGTTAAAATGGGGTCATGACCTAGCTCGTTCCCGAAACGAAATAAATGGACAGCGCAGCATTTTTGAGTCTGCTCATGACATCAGGGAGGCAGTAATACATATAACTTAAGAGGGGCTCAGAGAGATAACCATTTCCTGCAAACCAGGCTGTTCAGCCGTATCCGAAAAGGTGAGGTGGTGCGAGCTCGTAGTTGGTCTGTTTACGTGGTTGGTTTTCGGTGCGCCGCATCGAAGCCATGGTTGGTGTACACTCCCAACCTGTGCAATAGCGCTATATTCCTAGGAGGTGGAGGAATGCCATACCACCTCACTTTTCGAGAATGCTGAACATTAACCCATAATGACATATGACAAATGGGTTTGGAGCCCCATTTTCTGAGACATTCCTTCACCTCTGGATAGCATCACCCTCACCTTGCACTGCAAGTTGACAGTTCCGGTCTCGGTGAGCGAGGCCCGCAACGGCTCCAGGAAGTAGGGCGCCTTATAGTGCCGCGGTCGGTTGACCGTCAGACGGCCGGTGGTGACCGCCTGGCCCACCGGGTTGGTAGCCACGCACCTCCACTCGCCCTGCGCGGCGGGCGTGAGTTACTGAGAGCGAGCGGGGGCGGGCGGGCCGGGGTAGAGGATGGAGAGGGCCGACGCGGGTTCACGACGGAGGTGGAGCGAAGGGGACGAAGAGGGAGAGACGAGTTGGCAATATTCCGAGACATAGCCGTGGTAGAGAGAGGCGGAGGGGAAACGCCGCTGAGGCAGAGGGTGGCTACACCAGACCGGGAAAATTACCTCACCTGCTACCCTTCCTGTTGGACGGCATGGCTGCGTTACCAGATTTAGGAATCAGTACGACATCCGTCCATTAGCCGGGGAACACTTTGGTCTTAAAGTAAAGGTGAATTAGGCGCGACAGACACGGTTCAACCGCAGCGAAACACCGATGCACAGCCACAAGTAGTCTCCCGTCCAGCCCTTCTATGCGTGAGGCACTCATGCGATGAGCGTGAGTGTACCATGGTAAGACTCTAGTAAGACTCTAGTTATGACATCTAGCGCGTGAATAGTTGTGATATTGCTGCGTTTATCTGAGCCATCGAAGGAGGCCCACGCGCCCACCTGGTCCTCCAGCTGTACGGTTTTCAGATCCAGGTGATACTTCCCCGGTGCGCCCCGGCTCAGAGTGACCATTTCGCTGGTCTGAACGGGCTCCTCCTCCCGGAACCACGCCACGTCGGGCTCCGGGTACGACGCCACTGTTGGAAAATGCAGACGGCGGACGTCATCTAAGGAAGGGTTTTGTCATCGATCGGAATGTACTGCCGGTCTTTGGCCAGATCACTAAGGGAAGACTTCTGTCATGCCAAGAAAACCTTTTAGGTTAAAACTTATAGCTCAGATTTAGTCTCATATACGGCCCCTCATGCATCTGCACGCAGCAGTGGCTTTGCTTAAGTGGCATCGTCTTACGCCCACTGTGGTTGGACATCATAATCGTGAATTATTTAAAATCGTTTTCACTACTAACGGTAGAATCGGGTTGAGTTTCAATCCTTATAACCGTATGTACATTCACAACAGCAGATTTCATCACCTATGTACATAATTCCGATTATCTCTGTACCCGAATCCTACAATGTATTACACCCACACTGGGTCCTGGGGGTACACCGAAACGACTAACTGGACAGACCTGTGGTAACCATCGCATCTGTAGCCACTCTCGAGGGTGCAGGGGCACTGACCGCTACATCTGTACGCACCCTCGACAGTGAGGCGGTGCTGACCGTCACCTCTGTGCCCACCCTCGACAGTGAGGCGGCGCTGACCGCCACATCTGTACCCATCTTCGACAGTGAGGCGGCGCTGACCGCCACCTCTGTGCCCACCCTCGACAGTGAGGCGGCGCTGACCGCCACATCTGTACCCATCTTCGACAGTGAGGCGGCGCTGACCGCCACCTCTGTGCCCACCCTCGACAGTGAGGCGGTGCTGACCGCCACATCTGTAAGCACCCTCGACAGTGAGGCGGTGCTGACCGCCACATCTGTACGCACCCTCGACAGTGAGGCGGAGCTGACCGCCACATCCGTACCCACCCTCGATAGTGAAGCGGTGCCTGTCGGCGATGCTGACCACCGTCTCGGGCAGCAAGCCCTGGGTGAAGCGGGGCGGCAGCTGTCCCTGGCACACCTTGCACCGCTCCTCCTCCGTCAGCTGGTTCTCGATGTCGGCCAGTGTCAGCTCGGCCGTTGACTCGGCCGTGCCCATGCAGTTCCTCGCCAGACACGCGTACACGCCTGCGCAGAAGAAGTCGTGTTGTATGCAGTGGAATGCAAAGCATCTTCAAAAGCATCATCAAAACACCTTCTTTTTGCCATGGTTACGATCGCTGGGAAGACACGCAGTTTCATGAGAGACGGCTCATTACAAAGCCAGCTTGCTTGTAGATAGCGAAAGCCGAGAAAACACCGAGCCGGCGAGTTGTGTTGTGCAGCGACTGTTGAGTTGAGGCTAACGTAACGGGTTATGGCTTGCATCGGAATTGAAAAATTGAGTAACGAGACGTCCTGAATGTATGCAAGTAACAAAAGTATCCACAACCAGTGTGGAGAAAGGTCTAGTGTCGATAACAAGATACATTTATGTACAAGATGAGTGAAAACCAGAATGTGTTTTCGCTGCCTTTGACCGGTAGACCGGTTGACTTGTTGGCCGCTTGACTGGTTGACTGGTTGACTGGTTGACTGGCTGACTGGTTGGCTGGTTGACTGGTTGGACGCTTGAAAGGCCGACAGGTTGACTGGTTGGTCTTACCTAATGAGTTGGTGCCACTGAGCTGATACACGTCACCAGGCTTCAGCTCCTGTCCATCCTTGAACCAGCGCAGCAGCGGCGTTGGGTAGCCCACCACCTTGCACTCGAACGACACCAGTCCCCTCGTCGGTCAGCATGGCTCGCAGCGTCCTCCATGAAGCGAGGCTTGCGGTAGTTGCGTGGCACTGAAGAAGGTCAAACAGGCCGGACTTAGTGTGCATCTCCCGGTGCCGGTGGACACGGGATGCGTGAGACATCGACGTGCCGGATCAAATTTATGAATGATGCGTGAAGGTGACATTGACATCACGCCTTGGTTGAATGCGTAGATACATGCCATACTGTGAGAACTCTCCCCGATCACTTAACCTCACCGGCCTGAAACTGTGACCGCCACGATTTTTGATAACGGACTTTTGGGGGGAAACCCTGCGCGGTGGCATTCGTGTCAGCTCGATTCCACGCTGCACGGGGTCGGTGGGCGGCGGCCGTCTGCTCACGGCCAGCACGATGTACACAGGTCTCGGTGACGCCGCCGGGGCGGTGACCTCCGCGCCACTCGCCGTCGTCGCAGAGGTCGACCCCGCTGACCTGGAGTCGCCAGCTGCCGTCCGGGTCGCTGTTCCCCAGAGTAATTGTCGCTCGGCTTCCACCAGTCGGCCCTTGTTGTACCACTGGACCGAGGTCACAGCCTGCGGGTCCGATGCTGCCGGCGGCGTGTGGTGTCGAGGTAACACATGCTGTGCTCTCGTGGTGGCAGAGTTCCAGGATTCTTGCTAGGTTTAGTAACTTAGGAAGGGGATGAAGACTGGTTGAGAGCGAGAGAGAGCGAAAGAGAGAGAGAGAGAGAGAGGAGAGAGAGAGAGGAGGAGAGAGAGGCGAGGAGAGAGAGAAGAGAGAGAGAGAGGAGAGAGGAGAGAGAGAGAGAGAGAGAGAGAGAGGAGAGAGAGAGAGAGAGAGAGAGAGAGAGAGAGAGAGAGAGAGAGAGAGAGAGAGAGAGAGAGAGAGGAGAGAGAGAGAGAGAGGAGAGAGGAGAGAGAGAGAGAGAGAGAGATAAAGGAAGGGTTAAGGGGAGATGGAGTGAGATGGGAGCATGTCTCATTGATTGTCTGCGTTCGACCTTCATTCATATTTCACTCGCCCAAAGTTGCATTTTTTCAAAACGCTAACCGGTAGGGAGGCCGGGTCGATGCAGCTTCCTTTGACGCTTTCAGGCTAAGAATGGCAGAGCATCGTGTGAAAACGTCATTGGATTGGTGTCATAGAGTTCTCGCAATTGTCCATAATTTGTATGTTGCTGAGTTAAAAACTGACCCCACTTTACCAGCTAAAATGTCATTTTTTTCCTAAAAATCAAACTATTTTCAAGTGCATGTGTCCATATTTACCAGGTCGTTCCATGTACGAAAAAAAAACTTGAAAGACACGTTTCTTGCTTAATTATGACCATCTTGATGTACACTGTGGTGTGTTGTGGGCTTATATTTATGATTTAGGACTCCATTGATGTAACAGTGTTGGCCTCCCAAACGCGATCGGCGGATTCGTCGGTTGCCGCCCGCCGCCCGCGCCGGTCGTTGATCGCCGTGCAGTGTTCTTAAAACCTGTCACTTCTCGGAAGCCAGAAATGCTAGGGACACCTGGGTGTCAAAACACGCTAATAAACATTTGACCGCGATTGCGCAACAGGCTGGCGAGATATTTTCAGAACACATTCGGGATAGTCACGTCGCCTTCCCTATCAGGGCAAACGATGTCTACCAGTATGCATCTCGTCCTGTTCTTCCAGGAGGTGACATATAGAAACACCTGGACGCATCACACTTTATAATTCACGAAAGCCAATACTACTATCATCCGATCAAAGAGCACGAATATCTCGTCATAACGTTCAGTTGGCTGCCAATTTCGACATTTTAGCGCCCCTAGCAACAAAAAGCCAATACGCTCTTTCTCCAACCACCTAGCTGTTTTGGCACGGTTCGAGCCATTTAAAAATACTGCGCGGCCGGGGAAGAAGCCCGCGCGGGTTCCATTGTGACGTCACCAGCGCTCTGCTGACGTCACTCTCCCGTCGGCCGGCGTGACCTGTTTATTCGGCAGCGGTTTGTGCAATGCGGCTAATGCAGCGCGGACAGCGCCAGCGAGTCGGTGGGACGTTTGGCAGCTGTCGGTGCCCAGCGACCGCACAGCCCGGAGTGGCCGGCTAGTGCGCGTGTGTGTATGTCTGTCTGTGCGTCGGCGAGCAGCCGGCGGGCACTTATTTCGGGCCGACAGACAGTCACGTGCGCGTTACGAGGGGGCGGCCGGCGGCTGGAAATAACACGGAGCAGGCCCGGTCTCCAGCTGCGGTCAAGGCCGCCGATGTCGGAAACTCGTCTGGGAATCTCATGACCGCGGCAGGATATCAAACTTGGATTACCAATTGATAGAGATTGACGCCCGCAGAAACAGAACGCTGGCCTCGACTGCGATGGGAAATGTCGGGACGAGTTGGGAGGTGTGATTTGATTGACAGCGCCGACGTTTCAGATGGAAGATAATGATGTGAGGCACGGTTTGGATCCCAGCAACAGCCATGATAAACAAAGCTTGCTCATGTTCGTCATGCCATCAGTTACGCTGAACAGGGAAGAAGACTGCGTTCAGGTGATTGAGGTACATTCCTTCTTGTTTACGCCGTCAGAATCGAATCAACTTTGTTGTTGCATTATTGTACGCCGAATCGACTCAACAAACCATTTCGCAGTGTCCACACTGACGTTTTCCTGGAGGTCAGCAGCTAAACAGCGCCAACTAGCGTCATAGCTGCACCTGGCCAAGCTGCTCTCCGGTGTCCACCGCACCTGCACGGCGATCAGCCCTCACTCCAGCCGGCCCCCAGCGCGAGGCAGCCTGAGCTTGCATGGCAAGTCCGACCCTGCCGCAAGCCCTCAGCTGCAAGCCGACGTGACATCAAAAATTACATAACACAATATAATATTTCAAAGCTACTGTACCCATTCTGACCTAGGGCTGCACCCCCCCCCCTCGCTCTCTTCCCCTTCTCCTTCCCCTTCTCCCCCCCGTACCTTGCCAGTTGTGAATTCAACTCGAGAGGCACTACCGAGAAAAGGACCCGAAAAGGTCATGCACTAACCACGCTTTACTTGCCCAAGCCCGACCTTTGGCAGTGAGCACTTGACCCACATATACCTTTGGCAATGCGCCACGGATCCTGTCTGATCTGTCACAGCGAGCGCTTGACCCGGACTGACCCCTGACTGTAGGCCATTGACCCCGACTGACGAAATGGTCAGTCAGTGAACCCTATACTCCAAATGGGCAGCGAGCCTTGTGCTCTCCACGATGTTCAACGGTGAGGTCTTAACCCGGAATGTCACGTGTTTACTACGAACCGTTCCACTGAATGGCTTAACGTTTTATTCGAGTCAGTAGGTTGCAAGTTACCCGACAAAAATGAAGATGCAGCAATGATGATGACACGTCAAGAGCTTGAGAAAGGCCAGAGAGAAAAGCCAAAGTCAAATAAACCCTCTTTTTCACATTGGTCAACTTTAGATGTAAGCGCAGCACGACTCCAGCAGGTCATAACAGCCGGCGGCAGTGGTTCCAGAACGAGGCTGTACGATACGAAAATACCCTACGCGACATGGGCAGCCAGAAAGGGGACAGCTCAAAAGCGCTGGCCCTCGCCGACCTCGTGTTGCGCTCACTCACAGCGGTGCGAGGGATGAACAACGACCGGGCCACTGTCGGGGCACGGGGGTCATTCAGGGCCCTGAAGAAGCCAAGGTGGTCGCGGCGCGTAACAATGTCACTGATTCCGCGCCAGCCCAGCGACCTTACGACCAGCGAAATACAATATTGGCCCCACGCCCCGAGAGGATCCTGGCCGCGAAATTTGTGATTTTTTGCACCCGGCCGAGATAGCAGGCGGTGGTCCCGCCCCAGACTGAGAGACAGTACAAGATGTGGGGGAAGATGGGCCTTAATGAAGAGTTTGCGAGCTTCAGGTGTGAAACGATGACGAATTTTGTCTGGACAAAACAGGATGGAGTTGCATTTTTAGCTGAGTTGGATATGCGCCCCTCCCAGGAGACGGTACGATCGATGGTTGCTCCCAGCATCTTCACGGACGGCAATGGGGTTTATATTAAGTTGGAGATGTTAAGAAAGAAGGATGAAGTTTGTTATGGCCTAGGGCTCGTTCCAAATAGAAGAAGAGTGGCCTTGGTAGGGTGAGTAAAAAAGGACAGTGATATGACAGAATGGCAGATGACAGAATGACAGTAATGACAATAATGAAAGAATCGCATGTATGACAGTATGACGTATGACATGTGGCGCATGACATGACATATGCCAGAATGACAGAATGACAGTAGCAGTGGTAGAGGTGGTAGCAGAATGATTTTTGATCGTGAGCGCTTGACCCTATATAAGATCTGAAAGTCATTTCTTGACCTTGACTGACCTTTGACAGAAAGCGCGAGGCGTTCGCCAACCTTGACCTTCCGGTCGTAGAGAGTGTGCACGAGACGAGGTGCCGCTTCGCTCGAGAAGCGCACTGTCTCCCCCGGTGGCTCCGTCTCCAGTCTGTGAAGGGAAGGTCACGTAATCGAACAGCCAATGTTGTTGGCTTCCAAGCAATCTGGATCAGATCATGCTGCAGGTTCACGGTAAACGATATACGTACGTGGATATGATGAGAGAATGCATCATTGTTATATTGCATTGGGATTTCAGTGCGGCACACGCGCGTCCTTGGTGTGCTCATATCTATTGGAGAAGCGTCAGTGTTATGTAAGGAAGTCGTTAAGATCTACGTCGATCTCAAAACCAATACCCCTGAGAAGCTGAAATGAATAATCGGAGCCAGTCTAGCAGCCTAGATAAAACCACAAAATGCAGAAGATCCAAATAACAAATATAGTCGCGTGCCAGTGAGGAACGAAATAGATCAATCTCGAAATAAGGAATTAATTTCTCTTATCAGTCGATGAAATGACACAAAAACGTCTCTGTCCAGTGTTAAAACGAGCGTCAGCAGCTTATTACGGCGGTCAACAGCTTATTACGGCCATCAGCAGCTCATTGCGAAGCTCCACGTTAGCAACCGGTCAGAGATCAGACGGGACATGGTCAGACCCTCCTCTGTCGAGCGTTCAAAGGAGCGTCAGCAGCTTATTACGGCCGTCAGCAGCTTATAACGAGGCTCCACATTAGGTGATCCACTATTTTTGCTCAGATGAGCCACTGTAATCGGCCACCACTAGGGCTGCCGCGGTACCTGGCGGACTCCGGGATCTGACCCAGGGCGGCGGAGCGGCCGGCCACCAGCTGACCATCGGCTGCACCGGCCGACAAGAGCCGGTCTTCAGCCGAGCCTGCCGAGCATAGGCCTCGGTCACACGAGGTCAGGCGGGCGGCTGCGGTATCCCGCCTAGCGCCAGTGTGCAGGGGAGTGCTGGTGGGGTGGAGCTGTGGGGCCGCCATAGTCGTACTACAGGCTTCTTAACATGTAACATTACGCCAAAGCGCAGAAATTTACAAAATAAGTTGAAGAATGGGTGCTCAGCGAACAAAATGGGTTGTACAACAAAGAGGGCATTCCCCGCATTTGGCACAGTTTTTTTCTCAAACTTGAGGACTGGAACGCCCAACTGAAAAAATTGGACATTTTGCCCCTCGTTGCGCGGTTACGTCCACGGCATAGCACAGAACAAACACATCTGAAGCGTTATCAATCCCCTCCCGTTTCCCCCGTGCTCCCACTAGGCGTCAGTCGGTGCCGACGGCCCTGGGGGTGGCAATTGCGTTGGTTGGGTCATAACTGCCAAATGTAATACACCTTTTTAAAACTGTGTCATTTCTCAATCCAGCAGTTTATTGTCGGTGCCGCCGTCATTTTAAAATGCTAGGTTTGAAGCTTTTCTCCACAATCGTATCGTTGTCGTCCCGAGCATATGTCATGGGTACTGTGCCTGAAACCATTGTTATTTCCATAATCACGGTATTTTGTACATCCAAACGAACTAATCCAGAAATATTCAGCTCCGCTGACAGCATCAACGAGCATGTTTACGAGATCAAAGAAACGCTGTGAAACATTTTTGCCAATTGTGAGCTTAATAAACATAAGCAGTGTTTTCAGTACCTACCCTATATTCAAACGAATCGAGCCATGTGTCTTCATCGGGCAAAATTTAGCATACAATATATTTATCACTACTGTATTGTCTAATACAAGGTGAAGGTCATATGTTTCAATGAAGTGTAATGTAGACCTTTCTTTTAAAGCGCGCACGGGTGGCCGGTTAAAAGCTACGGGCTCGGGTGGGGTCAATTTGACTTCACTTGAGATCGAAACAACCAAGAGATCTAGAGGCACCAAACTTACTGAGTAGGCTGACCTCTATGTGATTTTACTTGTGCCCATTTGTTTGGATCCCTTGGTCATCATCTTAAGGTCAAACAAGGTCAAACTCAACAGATCAGCGTCCGAAGTGCCTCCAGGCCTCCTCATGCAACCTCCTTTGCCTTATATACCTGTTCTAAGCAAAGGATCACCAGTGCTTGTTCCAGGTCAGTGACCTTGTTGATCTTCGGAAGACCACTGTGACCAAAACAATTCGAGACTTTTGTGATTTTGGAATTGAGATCAGCATGAAAGGCTTACGTTAGTCGGTATGATTCTGAAGGCAAAAGGTTTATTAGAATCGTTTTAGGTCACTGACCTCCTCCGACGTTGAGAAAGTCCAAGAAAGAAATCTGTTGACATCCCCATGGTCAAGAAGCTCGGAATGGCGCATCGAAAACAACGCCGTAAGGTGTTTCCAACAAAAAGCGGCTTGATTCGACCTCGGATGGACCTTCACGTCTGATTCAGGATAAATAAAATCAGTCTTTATCTAATATTTAAGTAGCTAGATGTCTATGAAAAATGCCTCAGATATGTATGACTTCGTCTGACACTACGATGTCGCATCATATTGAACGATTCCCCACGCAAGCCTAGCAAGATGACAATGCCATCAAAGACAGCAGCCAGAACAGAACAGCGCCGCCATTCTGCAGTGAACTGGGGGCGGCGCATTTCGTCACTGTGGCGCTGGCATCGCTTCGCGGATGCTGCACTGTTGAGCACTAATGTCATGCGGTACAGTTTACCCTCGTGTCAAAGGAGCGACGCGACCGTCGGCACCGGCGTGACGCGCGGACGTATCACGCCACGCGGGACGAACCCGGTCACGTCGGCGGCTTTTAGACACCAGGCCGCCTATTTCAGGGTTTAGGAATCTTAAGGGTGTGGCAGCTGTCAAATTACGATGCCCGTTTCTTAAATTTGGAGCACGTTTTCGTCGCATAGCGAGCAGTAGGCACGCTTGGCCCAAAAGCATGTTGACGTAAGAGATTGGCGATATTAAATCGCAGCACAATAGCATAAGTGTAGTATAACATCAGCTAAAATTATACACTAGTGAAAGCAGCTGTCAAACTAATAAATCTTCCCAGTATAGCAGAGATATTGGCCGAGGTCGTGTTCGGGGGATGCCATGAACTTTCAATCAACGTAGAAGCGCGCGGTATTGTTTCTTTAACCAGTCCAATATGGCTCCCAACATCTCCCACACGGCTGTAGAATGTCGGCAACACATTATCTGTGCAGATAAGCTCTCGAAAGAGCTTACGGCATTGCAAAACTGTTACAGCTGCTTAAGTGCCCAATGAACGCTCATGTGGTACGCCACACCTGTAAACACCCACACCGCATTTTCCAGCACACTTACAAACTTTGTGGAGGGAAACTTCGGACCCCAAACAACGATAGAAACAACAGCTGACATAACGACCACCACTGAACTATCGGATCTAAGCGAACACGCCGCTGACATGCGGTGCCGTCACCCACTGACCTGGCCCACTGTGTGGGGCGGCGGCGGCGGTGGCGCGGGCCTGGCGCTGGGCCAGGGGCACGGGCCGCCACTGGGCCCCCTCCCCCGGCGCCGGGTCACCCTCCTGGGCCGTCCGGGGCCGCGGCGCCGGCGACACCGGCGACACGCCATGGGCCCAGCGGCTCTGCGGACGCAGCGGTGGCAGAGGTCATGTGGAGCGGGTCTGCGGACGCAGCGGTGGCAGAGGTCATGTGGAGCGGGTCTGCGGACGCAGCGGTGGCAGAGGTCATGTGGAGCGGGTCTGAGGGTTCAGCGGTGGCAGAGGTCATGTGGGGCGGGTCTGCGGGTGCAGCGGGTGGCAGAAGTCCTGTGGGCGGCTCTGTGGGTGCAGCGGTGGCAGAGGTCATGTGGGGCGGGTCTGCGGATGCAGCGGTGGCAGAGGTCATGTGGAGCGGGTCTGCGGGTTCAGCGGTGGCAGAGGTCATGTGGGGCGGGTCTGCGGGTGCAGCGGTGGCAGCGGTCATGTGGGGCAGCTCTGCGGGTGCGGCGGTGGCAGAGGTCATGTGGAGCGGCTCTGCGGGTGCAGCGGTGGCAGAGGTCATGTGGAGCGGCTCTGCGGGTGCCGGTGGCAGAGGTCATGTGGGCAGCTCTGCGGGTGCGGCGGTGGCAGAGGTCATGTGGAGCGGCTCTGCGGGTGCAGCGGTGGCAGAGGTCATGTGGAGCGGCTCTGCGGGTGCAGCGGTGGCAGCGGTCATGTGGGCAGCTCTGCGGGTGCGCGGTGGCAGAGGTCATGTGGGGCGGGTCTGCGGGTGCGGCGATGGCAGAGGTCATGTGGAGCGGCTCTGCGGGTGCAGCGGTGGCAGCGGTCATGTGGGCAGCTCTGCGGTGCGGCATGGCAGAGGTCATGTGGAGCGGCTCTGCGGGTGCAGCGGTGGCAGAGGTCATGTGGGCAGCTCTGCGGGTGCGGCGGTGGCAGAGGTCATGTGGGGCGGGTCTGCGGGTGCGGCGGTGGCAGAGGTCATGTGGAGCGGGTCTGCGGGTGCAGCGGTGGCAGCGGTCATGTGGGCAGCTCTGCGGGTGCGGCGGTGGCAGAGGTCATGTGGAGCGGGTCTGCGGGTGCGGCGGTGGCAGAGGTCATGTGGGGCGAGTCTGCGGGTGCAGCGGTGGCAGCGGTCATGTGGGCAGCTCTGCGGATGCGGCGGTGGCAGAGGTCATGTGGAGCGGGTCTGCGGGTGCGGCGGTGGCAGAGGTCATCTGGGGGCGTCGAGCGCCGCATGATGACGGGACACGTGTCAGTGAAGAGCTTGTAGGGGTGATATGTCAATGGAGCAGTGGCTCCATTGCGCTCACACCAAATGTGGATAACGCGGAGATGGACAAGTTGAGAAGTCCTCCCGTAAAATATGAACGTCATGTCACGTGGCACCCGCTAGTCCTCAGAATGTATAACGTACTGAAATAAAAGAAGCTTGGCATCCCAATTACCAAATCAGTTACGTCATAACCGTCGTCGAAAACGTGTAGCTAAATACATTTGTCCAAGTCAAATTCTCAGTGAACATAAAAATGTCATGCAGGAAGTAAATTATTGTTTTCAAATATTTCTTAAAGCAGATTTACACCGAATAGTTTGCGTTGGCGGCTTTGTGTCCAAAGCACCTGCCACGCATAACTTGATGTGCAAACCCTGAAGCTACACGCAGGTCGTGCTGTCCAGCTTAACGAATGATTTTGCCCCCAACCTTTTGTCAGGCAGGAATGCGGAGTGTTTTAGGTGCCGCACAATGCTGCAGCACGGCCTCCCCGGCCCTGGGTTGACCCTTGGGGATGCCAGTGCTCGCTGGCATCTGGCATGACCTAACGCCTTCAACCATTATACAACTGACTATGACCGGCGGTCTCTTTGGCATCATGCGCGACGGCTTAGGATCATCCTGGCCTTCGAAATGTGTTGGGTTTATGTTCTTTTCAACTCAAGTTGTTTGAATCACGCAGTGGGAGGTTACACCAAACCGTGAATCGTGTCGGATACTGTCTCTACATCGTGAGTGTGATGACATGGAAAGCCAAACTATAAGAATTTTAGAGCATTGCCCTCAACACCCAGCATTGTGGATGGCACGCTTCACTGAGACAGAAAACTAATTCAGTCTTGACGCCAGATAGCGCGCTTCACTGGGATAGTCGGATCATTCAGTGCTGACGTCGGATAGCGCGCCTCACTGGGGTAGTCGGGTCATTCAGCGCTGACGCCAGATAGCGCGCCTCAATGGGACAGTAGGGTCATTCAGCACCAACGCCAGATATCGCGCTTCACTGGAACAGTCGGGTCAGTCGGCGCTGACGCGCATATCCCGCTAGCTCCAGCAGGCTGTGACGGCATGCCACAGCGGCAGCCGTCTGCCGCCAGCCGATCCAACAACAGCCGCCTAATGATAGACACCGTCCCTCCGGCGATAAACACAGCCGCCGGCCCCAAGGAGCTCGTGTAGCAG